TATCATTAGTCTTAGAAATTACATTTTCTATATAAACTTTGAAAATATTTCCCATGTTCCCATGTTTATTTATTACATTAGAACATTGATTTAATTGCAGATCCTAACAAGATTCAGTATTACAGTTTTGCACTGAGTTAAATAATGATGTGTAAATAAAATATTCATAATTTTTCAATTATATTAAAATATACCAAGCTTTATGCACAGTAGCCAAACAGAATCTTCCATGTAAGTGTTCAATGAATGAGTGTTCTGCAACTTGTCAGATAAACTGCTTATCAGCATTCATCACATCTTGAGTTAAACTGTAATTTATTCTATATTTTATTTCATCTCTCTTGAAATACAATGAGTAACTCATGAAATGTAAATTTTTAAAAGATTTACTTATTTATTTGAAAAATCAGTTACAGAGAGACAGAGCTCTTCCATCTGCCAATTCACTCCCCCAAAAACTGCCACAGCCAGAACTGAGCCAGGTTGAAGCCAGGAGCCAGGAGCTTCACCTGGGTCTCCCACGTGAGCAGTTGGGACCAAAACACTTGGGCCATCTTCTGCTGCTTTTCCAAGGTCATTAGCAGGCAACTGTATTGAAAATGGACAGCTAGGAGTTACAGATGGCACCACAACATCAGCCCCCTAGTGTAACATTTTTGTATGCCAGCAAGGCTGATTACGATGTCCCTTGCATGTGATATTAAGATTTTCATTTTAAATTATTTATATTATATGTTTATGTACAACTATTAATGAATTGGATTATATTGCCCACGTGATTTTTGGTGAACATAGTCTGATTAAAGAGATGTATCCCATGGGCTTTTCAGGCAGATCTGCATGCCTTAAGGGCTGATTATGAGGCCAGAGTGCTGTTAGGACATCTGTCATTCTATGGGTCTGCTGTGTATCTCACTTCCCATGTTGGATCATTCTCTTCCTTTTTTATTCTATCAGCTAGTATTTGTAGACACTATTCTTGTTTATGTGATCCCTTTGGTTCTTAGTCCTATCATTATGATCAATTGTGAACAGAAATTGATCACCGGGACTAGTGAGATGGCATTAGTATTTCAGGCATGGAAAGCCAAGACACTCTGGGGGAAAAAAACAAAACAAAACAAAACAAAACAAAAAAAAAACACCACCTAAATGAAAGATCTCCACGAGTGAGATCCCAGTGGAAAGAACAGGTCATCAAAGAAGGAGGTACTTTTCTCTGAAGGGAGGAGAGAACTTCCACTTTGACCATGGCCTTGTCTAAATATGATCAGAGTCAGTGAACTCTGAGGTTCCATAGCCTTGGCAGCTCATGACAAGAGCCTAGGGTGATTACTGAGGCCATAAACAAGAGTGTCAATTTGTTAAGTCAACAACAGGAGTCACTGTGCACTTACTCCTCATGTAGGATCTTTGGCCTTAGTGTGCTGTACATTGAGATTTAATGCTCTAACTAATACTCAAACAGTATTTTTCACTTTGTGTTTCTGTGTGGGAGCAAACTGTTGAAATCTTTACTTAATGTATGCTAAACTGATCTTCTGTATATAAAGAGAACCGAAAATGAATCTTGATGTGAATGGAAGGGGAGAGGGAGTCGGAAAGGGGAGGGTTGCGGGTGGGAGGGACGTTATTGGGGGGGAAGCCATTGTAATCCATAAGCTGTACTTTGGAAATTTATATTCATTAAATAAAAGTTAAAAAAAAGATGTATCCCAAGTCTTTGCAATAGCAGAAAACTGATAACCATTTTCCCATTTTTATATTTCTTAGGTATTGTGTATTCAACGACAGTATTTTCAGGTCACAATGATAAATTCTTAGTTAGTGAAACCTTAGGTTTATAATCTTCATAAAATCACCATAGTTCTGCATTCAGAAAATTACAAAATAAAACAAATACTGGTGTCTCTTTCTTCAGAAGATCACATGTTTTAACCTCAAATTTCTGATCAACTTCCACTTTTTCCAAGGAACACATCCCCTAAACGTTGTAAGAAAATGCAAGGTTTCAAGCAGACCAAATAATAAAAACATAATTCATTTAGAGTCTTTGAGTATAACATTCATTTTGGAATCAGGAACTCTAATAATTATGGAAGAAATAAATATTTTTCTCCAAAGCTTTTAAATTGATTCAAGATATATTTTATTGTCTTTGCTTTTTCTCCTTAGACTACTAAATATTAGACTGTTAAATCAATGGTGTATGAGTTTGCTAGATCTGGATTATTTGCTAGATATGTTGTGACAAATTATCACAAACAGTGGTGAACACAACAAAATTGTATTCTCTCAAAATCTGGAGACAAGAATTTGAAAATCCAGGTGTCAGTAGTGCTGGTGTCTTCTGTAGTCTCAGGGAGACTCTGTTGCAAGTCTCTCCCAGCTCCTGGTGATGGCAGACCATGGCTGGCATTCCTTGAGTTATAGGGGCATAGGTCTCATCTCCACCTGCAGCTCCACATGACGTCCTCTCTGTGTTTCTGCATCTTTTCATTTATAAACACACTAATCCCATTAGACTATGAGCCCACCTTACCCTACTACAACTTTTTCTTAATAAACTACATCTGCAATTACTTAATTCCCAAATAAATTCATATTTTTGAGATATTGCAGTCTAGGCTTCAACTTATCTTTTTGGGGAACTATATTCAAACCTCAACAACCTCCAACAAATTGATGGTGAATGTTTTTACAGGCGTTAGGAAAAGGAGAATGCAATCTCCAAAGAGGAGAGTAATGATTATATTTCTTATTTTAAAGGTCTATTAATTTATTTGAAAGTCAGAATTACAGAGAGAGAGAGAGAAAGATCTTCCATCCTCTGTTTCACTCCCCAAATGGGCCAGGCTGGATCCAGGAGCTAGGAGCTTCATCTGGGTCTCTGATGTGTAAGCAGGAACCCAAGGATTTGGGCCACCTTTAGCTCTTTCCCTGGAAATTGGTATGGAGCTATCAGAAGTGGAGCAGCTGGGTGCCAATATGGGATGCCGGCGCTTCAGACTATGGCTTAACCTGCAGCTCCACAGCACCAGCCCTCATTGTATTTCATAGAACCTCTATGTGTTATATAAAAAGGCCCCTGAACACATCCTGGGATTAGGTTTAACTGTAGTTTCTTGACAAGGACAGAATGTGTCTGAAACATTTTCCAATCTACTAGTAAGAAAAGGGCAATCATAACAGATTATATATATATATATATATATATATATGGAAAGAGAGTGCTTTGGTTAGGTTTCAGAAGTTAAAAGTATGTTTGAGGGTGTTAAGAAATAAGCCTGGAGTGAGTGTTCGGTGCAGTGGTTAAGATGCATGGGATGTCTGCAGACCACATTGCAGTGCCTTGGTTTGAGTCCTGGCTCTGCTGTCAAGTCCTGTAGCTGGCTAATGCACACCCTGGGAGGAAATAGGTGATGGCAAGTAGTTGGGTTTCTGCCATCCATTTGAGAGACCTGTAAAGAAGACTGGGTCCCTGACTTCTGTCAAACCCTGGCTGTTGTGGCCGTCTGGGGCATGAAGTTGTGGGTAGATTTATCTCTTGCTCTTACTCTCACTCTCCTTCCCTTTCAAATAAAATAAATTTTAATGGGGTAGGGGAGAGAAATGAAGCCTGAAAGCAAGTCAGAATAGCTGGTAGGTACCTGTAGGACTTATCATCATAGTGACTTAACTTAGATAACTGAGGGAAAGATGACAACAACCAACTGCGCTTACAAAGGACTATAATCTCTGACCACAAGAGGACAAAGATTTTTTTGTTATTGTTATTGAAGTTGCAAGGATATTTTATATTGAATTTCAGTGCTGATAATTTCTTTAACTTGGAAACTTTTCTTGACTTTAAAAAAGAAGAGGAATGAATCTTCTTTTAATCTCTGGAGTATTTTTTCATGAGTAGAAGTTATTTTATGAATACTATATATATAATATATAGCATTATTTGTAAATACCTTTCTCTTCTTCAATCACTTTTATTTCCTCACTATATATGTAAATTATTTAAATACATATAAATTCATCATTTTGTATATGTAAAACATCAGGAAAAGACTAAACCTACTCTATTTAATAATTATAAGTAGGATTGAACTATGATATTCTATTGTACTTGAGCTGGAAATATCAGAACTTGTGGTCTATACAGTTTTTCTGCTATTATAATTCTTTTTATTTATATGTTCCTTCTAATCTCTTCCTTTTTTTATGCCATCACACACATCATTATCTACTGGATATAGTAGATGCTAAAATACCTTAATTCTCATAAAATTCCTATTTCAGTGTAAACTTGATACTCTGTATTTCCTTACAACTCAAAAATTTTGCTCTCCTTTCTCATTTACACTCCACTCACCTCACATGTGAGTGTCTCTGAACTCTCCAGGGAGATTTTTTTTCTTTTTAACTTGGGAATCACCAAGTTCTTCCCTTGATGTTTGTCATCTTATTGTAATGAAGAAATCTGAAAAAAATCCCAAGGGAAGATAAAACATTATTTGTGAAATGATAATCTGTATTTCAAAACCCCAGGAATATGTAAAATAGCATAATACTGCTTTGATTTACTTTATTTAAATGTAGAGTTATATATGTATATATATATATAGAGAGAGAGAGAGAGAGAGAGAAGAGACAGAGAGAGAGAGAAAAGAGATCTTCCATCCACTGGTTCACTACCCAAAATAGCCACAATAGCCAGGTCTGGACCAGGCTGAAGTCAGAATTCTGGAGCTTCTTCCAGGTCTCCCATGTGGGCACAATGGCCAAAGAACTTGGACCATCTTTTACTGCCTTCCCAGCTCACTAGCAAAGTGGAGCAGCCAGGCATCAAACCAGCACTCATATGGGATGTCAGCACCACAGAGAACATCTTAACCTCTGCGCCAAACTGCCTGCTCCATTTTCAATTTTCACATGATTTATTTGAATTTAAAAGAGTTCATTTAATGATTATATTTAAATTTGTGCTGTTTTTGTCATTTTTATTCCAGGATTCACACAGGCTGCATCACACAAGTTAATCTGATGAGATATTTAGCAGCAATGAGGTACATCAAAATAATCCCTTTCTTTTATTAAGTTTTTGAGTTATACCTTCATTTTTATTGTAATGAAAAATAATCTTGGCATATTTAATTTAAACTATATTTATAGTCTAATTTCTACAAATGGTTATTACTGCATTGAGCATTAAATAGCTGATTATCAAAAGCATTCGTACATTTTCATTAAATAAAAATTACAAAGTATTCAAGAACTTGAACAAAACATTTTTGAAAATAAGCAGTTCTATTTGGGGAACAGAGATCAAATGTAAGCTCTTAAGGAGGTGGTTAGTGTAGTTTATCTGTGGATGAAACTGCCTTTGTGCTTCAGGCTTCAATACATACCCTGAGGCACTAATCTCATTAGAGAGGGAGAAAATAGTGTCCTATCTCTCAAGTCAGTGCTTTGAAAATAAAGATCTCTGGAACCAAAGTTCAAAGTTTTTTTAGAACAGCTTTGTTTTGTAGTTAGAAAATATTAAATGAAATTTTATAATTCAAAGTTTACTTTCTGGTTGCACACTTTTAAATTTGTGAATGTCTTCAATGAAGTCAAATAAGACCAGACAGTACATGAAGTGTTATAGTTCTGCTGTTTTAAAAGTGCCAGTAATGATAATAGCAAATCTATTACAGCCTTGCTCCTGAATATAAATGCATTACAGACAAATCTAAACAAACAGTCAACTGAAAGCTATTTATCTTATTTTAGCAATTCAAGATTATAATTCAAATTGGTTTGTTAATATGTAAGCCAAATACAAGAACATTTTGATAGTTGAATACTTTAAGGAATATCAACTGCTAAAAATGTTCAGAACTGATATATGAGGTTCATAGTTTCTTGTAAACTTGCAAAAAAGGTGACGTTGGAGACCAGTGTTGTGGCATGGCAGATAAAACCGCAGCCTGCAGCACTGGCATCCCATGTGGGCGCCAGTTCAAGTCTCAGCTGATCTACTTCTGGTCTAGTTCCCTGCTAATGGCCTGGAAAAAGCAGCAGAAGATGGACCCAGTCTTTGGGCCCCTGGTCACTCATGTGGGAGACCCAGATGAAGTTCCAGACTCCTGGCTTCAGCCTGGCCCAGCGCTGACTGTATGGAGATGGAACCAGCAGATGGAAGATGTCTCTCTTTCTCTCCTTGTCTCTCCCTCTCTCTTTCTAACTCTGACTTTCTAAATAAATAGATAAATCTTAAAAAAAAATATGATGCTTGACCACATCTTAAAAAAAATTGCCAAAGTGCTGTTCCTTTGAAATTAAAATCCCAGTTGAACTGCCTTTTGCCTTCCTTTCAGGCTTATAAAAGCCTATCTTTTATGTGTCTGTCACTCCTTTCTCACAGCCCAAACAAATGCAAATGATTGGTCACCTTTGGAATATGTTAAATGTTCCTTACTCAATAACACTTAGTTATCACAATATGCATGCAATCATAATATTGGAAATTTCCATAATGAATGTTAAGCTCCAGGCACTGTGCTAAACTACTATATGTTTATCAATCAATTTTAATACTCACAGTAAACCTGTGAGCCAAATATTTTTCCCTTTAATTTACAAATAAAAATTGAGTAATTTGCTCAAAAATAATAATTGATATATTTGGTATTTAAAGGTGGGTCTGTTCTAATTACTGTGTTAGATTGCCTCTCTTTTATCTAAGAATAAAGCACTTTGCTGAACTGAAATTTATGAAAACTTGAATCTTGTCTGTCTATATCATAAGAGTATTTTTATATTATCAAGCAATGTGTAGTACCCAATAAATGCTTGTAGATTGAATAAGAATATCCAGCATATTAACAATTTTCTGCTTCTCCCTCTCTTGTATGTTTTCCCCTCTTTCTCTTGGATTTTCCCCTCTCTGACTCTGAGGCTGTGTCTCCTCCCATTTACTCTTCAATCTAATATCTTCTCTCTCTCTCTCTCTCTTTTTTTTTTTTTTTTACAAATTCCTTCACCATTACCAATATATCACTTCTCAATGCTATAGAATGTAAGCTTAATTTTTTAAACTATACTATGAATCATTTAAATTACCTGTATTTCCCTATCTCTACATCCAGTGCATGATTAGGTTCTTTCAAAAAATATCCTTGAAACATTGTTATTTTGATTCTCTCATTTCAGTTGATTTCCAAGATGACATTAATTTCTGAGTTTCCTACTTTTTCTCTCTCTCTTCACAAGCTTCACCATCATCAATAACCTCTCAAAATGAAATGTTATTTTATATTTATTTGAGAGCAATAAAAATATGTTTATTTTTCAAGGGAGAAGACATGCTGGAGGCAAAAATTAGGAAGCTACTAAATCTGATGATGGATGTTGCATAAATGGGGAAGAATCTCTGTTTTTGAGAAAGCATATTCAAGATAGATTCCCAGAAAATCACTGCTTATGATATGGAAAAAAATGGGCCAATGACACAGATGAAAATATAGCAGGAAGCAGCAAAAAAGAGCACACAGTGTTAAGCAAAATAAGGGAACAGAGTCACAGAAAGAAGGTTATTATTAATACAGATAAAGGTCACAGAAAAATCAATGCATAGAAGATTTTTTTAAAGCCTTTAAATACATAGCTAAGTTAAATAATGTAAGAATGTGTATTTTCCTTCATTTTCAAAGTACATCCATTGATGACCCAAGAGAATGGAGCAGTAACTCTTCCTAAATGAATATTAGCACTGTGGCATGTAAAGGGTGCTCAATATGCACTATACTATGCTTCCTATTTGAAAGATACACAAGGCATTGGAAATAAATTAAGTTTAATGAGTTTAAGGGTATCCTATTTGAGTAGAAAGAACTACTATAATTGTAGGTAGAAATAACTATGTAACTGATTTGATGCACAAAAATGTGCACATACTATGACAAAAGCAGGGATTTTAGAAAGTAAAAGCCTTTATTGATGCAGTTACATTCTACCTGAGCATTAAAAACAAGCAGCAAGAAGTTAGGTAAAGCTTAGGCATGAGGTAAGGGTAGATAAACAGATAAGCATTAGATCATATAAATCACTGTACACTCTGTAATGCAGAATATTGGATTATTTAAAAGAGAAACATCTTGTTGAGTAATATTTTAAAATATTAGCTATTTCTTTTTTTAAAAAAAATTATTTATTTGAGAGGTAGAGTTACAGACAATGAGAGGGAGAGACAGAGAGAAAGGTCTTCCTTCTGTTGGTTCACTCCCCAAATGGCCGCAACAGCTGGAGATACGCCAACCTGAAGCCAGGAGCCAGGAGCTTCTTCCAGGTCTCTCATGCAGGTGCAGGGACCCAAGGACTTGGGCCATCCTCCACTGCCCTCCCAGGCCACAGCAGAGAGCTGAATTGGAAGAGGAGCAGCCGGGTCTAGAACTGGCGCCCATATGAGATCCTGGTGCCACAGACGAAGGATTAACCTACTGTGCAATGGCTATTTCAGCATATGATTTTCTCACTTGCCCATCTTCATTTAAGTAAAAAGAAAAATCTGTACATATTACCAAATTAATGGAGGGTGATTTCACTGCTTAGATAGGAACTGAAGAAGCAGCAGTATTCCAGAAACAAAACTGACTAGGATTTCAAACAGTCTTACTGAGATTCGCTGAACTTCTGCATGACACAGAGATGCAGATGTTTTGACATAGAACAGCAGAATGATTCTGAGTATGCAAGAATAAAACAATGATGTACACAAGGCTAAAAGGACCATGTAGTCAGGATCCTGAAGCAACTCCAATATCATCTAACTAGACATAAGATGTGATGCCTCTACCACTTATCGTTTAGACTTTACATAACTAATGTCAGCTAATGCATTTTAACTTAAAATTTTCAGTCAATGACAAACACCTTCCATACTTTTCAACAGTAAAAATACGACAACAGCTACATCCTCTTTTGACTCTAGATTTTCTTGAAGAATTTCAAAATTCAGTATGATTAGTTCCTAATAATTGCAACTGCTATATTTACTCTCTCACCACTCATTCAATTCACTAATATGTTCATTTGATGTCACTAAAATTAGAAATGAGGAAAAAGTCTCTTACAATGAATTAAATACTTCAGTAGAGCTAAACTATATGACTTTCTAAGTATGATAATTTGGTAGGCTTTTGAAAGGAAGAATGGATATTAAAATATCACTAATTATACAATATGTAGCCTTCTATTATGTTTCTCAATGCAATAACAATGTACTTGTGTAAGGAATTATGTTACAAGATTTCATTGAGTGAAATCCAAATTAAATATCTCAAAATTAATATTGAAGAGGCACTGTCTGTAAAAGATGTCCTAATAGTGAAATGGAAATGTCTTTCATACATTTAAAAAAAAAACCTTTGATCCTCATTTTCCTTTTTATGGCTTCCTTCACATTTGAAGATATATGGTAAGTTGATAATATGTTATAAAGTGACCTTCACTGATCTGTAATAATGACTGTCTAGAACAGATCATGGGATTATGGATTACTCAATGAATAATGATCAGTTTTAATGAAAAGGAATAGTGAAACTTGTTTGACCCTGCCAGTTCTATATGTCCTTCCAAAAAGTCATAGTCATATCTCAATCCATTCATTTTACTACTTGATGATTTCTGATTTTAGCATCTTTATATCTATAGGGGGTGTGGGGTTGAACAAAAAAAGCCTTCAAGAAAATTAATTCCTTTTTTATAAATTAAATATTAAGTCAAAGAAGTAAAATTTTCATGACGATATTTCAGTTAGAACCTGATTTATTTGTAATGCCAACCAAAGGTGAAAAATGATAGCGTAGCTAGGCACTATCTTAACAGAAAATATATATTAAGAAAAAAATGATGTTCACCAAAAAAACACTAAAATAATGGTATTTTCACCCAGAAAACTTCTTTTAAATGTAATTTCAACAGAAAGGAGAAGAAACACCTAGAAAAAGAGTTCCAATATTTTGGAGAAATAGATATGTAGGACTAAATAATTAAAGTTTATTTCAATTTATTAAAGCATCTGTTTGGATGAATTAACTATACTTTTAGATTGCGATGTTTTGTAGGTTTTTACCATAATCAAAGATATTAATGTATTTTAAAATTGTAGTGATTATACCATCAAATTAGAAATAGTCATTCTTTTTATACAGGGTCCTAAAAGTTAATGGACCATGTCAGACAAATTCCATTTGTGTGATTTTCCTAAATAAAAGTAGACTGTGGAGAACTTTTCTCTCTGAAAGGAGATAATATTTTTTCATTTTTGCTACAATAAAGCCCTATTCATATTTTAGCTTTCAATGTCATATTGCCAATACTGAATTTTTATTGTCTCTTCTGCTATAAAACATGTCCTCCTCTTGTCAAGCTCAAAAGGGCACTGTGATGAACCTTACATTGCATCAAATCATGATCATTTTCTGTCAACATCTATCACTACACTTCAGAAAGCGTGTCTTTCTTACAGTTTCCTCAATGAAGTTATTATATAATCAACACACATCATGCATCATGCCATGAAATCCCTGCTCAAAACTGCATTTGTCAGGAAAATACAAAAGAAATGTGCCTACTCTGATAAATGAAATGTAATAAGATATGTGTGTTAAGTAATAATTTTTCAAAAGAATCTCATATTTAAAAGCTGATTTGCTGAGTTATCCAAAAGTATCAATGAATAATGAGGACAGAACAGATGTGGGTCATCTGAAAACCTGAATGTAAATGTTGCTTTATAGTTTCATAAAGCCAGTGGGATTTTAACATCTTCAGAAGAAATTTATGTTTTAAGAGAATAATTGATAGAGAAAACTCAAAGAGATTATGATCTGCAAATGAACCAGATAAACAAATTCTTTGTGATGGAAGTATTAAGCGGGTACATTCTAAAAACAGTGAAATGCAAGTCCAAGAAACATAGCCAATCTGCCTAATGAATATTTTGAGGCAGAAATACAGAAAATCAGGGCTATTCTTTTTCCATCTCATTTTTTAGTTAACCTGCAAATGCTGTCTTGAAATTAGACTGCTCTGAGTTCAGTTTTGTTCTCTGCTGCTTTCTTACCAGTAAAGAGATACCATGACTATAATTTATAGTTTGTCCCTCAGTTTTATTATTCTTCAGATGATACAAGGTTGACAGTGAAGTCAAGTGATTTTTGCAAATATATATACATATATTTCAAATGTATACATATACATATATTGAAAATATAAATATTTAAACTTGCTGAGTTTTAATTTTATTATGATAATATATATGAAGACAGATTAAATAAAATCTTATTTAATGGTATTATCTTAGAAATTCCCATCTCACATGAGAGTCCCATTTTGATCCTAAATATATAGCAAAACCTAAAGAATCATCTGCAGACACTGTCTGAGTTTATTTAAATGGACTCTTTAGAACCATTACTTCAAAAAAGAAAAAGATTAGATAAAAATGCCTCTTATATACATGTAAAAGATATTTTTCTTTTATGCTTATGTAGAGGCTACATTTCCCACTTAGAATTCAGAGGAATTTCAGCCTCATAAAGTAAAGGAAAAGACCAAAGACAGCTAAAAGACAAACAACTCCAACTAAACTAACAGGAGTTAAATTGTCTTATGCAACTAAAATACAGCTTGAAGTAAAAGTACTTAGTCCAGGGACAATTATACTAAAAAGGGACATCTGAGCTCTGCCTCACTTCTATTTCTGTTTGTCCATTTTTCTCTGTTTGTCGAGCTTACATTTTTAATATCATTTTCTCCACAGAACTGGGACTGTGCTCACAAACTGTGGCCCTGTGATAAAATGTGTTTAGCAACATTACTTAGGAGAGATAGCCATTTTCAGGTTTACAATTTCTAAAGAGAGTTTCTAACAGGCCTCGGATGATTTTGCCAATCTTGTGTGATTAACAAGACAAGGTATTTAAAACAACAGGAATGTACCAGTTTTAGATCACTTGCCAAGAGTACTGTGAGTGATTAGGAATCTATTTTTCAGCCTTCAATAGAATAGTTTTGTCTGCAGGAGATTCAGCTGCCCTGAGTATAGGATACCAGTATCAACAAATAGGGGGAAAATACAAACTACATTAGAAGTGCAAAATGCTTTTTACTTAGAGTGGAAATCTTTTTGCTGATAAAAAAATTCATCCTTCAACTCAAATGCATTGAAGAACAATTCTGGCATAACTTACATAAATAAAAAAAAATGATCATGAAAGGGAAGATAGCAGGGGGAATAAGGAATACAAGGTAGGCATAGACAGAAAAAAAACAGGATAGATATATTGACTTTTACATCTAAAATAGACTTAACTCTTTTTGCCTTTTATCTCCATGCATTTATATATGTGTATATGGTTGAAAATGATCTCGATTACTTTTCTTATACATATAAACATATAAGTGATCCATACATCACATTTAATTCATTTTTTCTAATGAACAAAATGAATAATCCTTTTAGAATATTGACCTTCAAGAATGTATCTCTGTATGTGCTTGTCAATGATATGCTATACTCATACCATTGTTTGAGCATGTTCAGTCAAAATATAACAAACAGTAGCTTAGGAAAAATGAAAATTTATCTTAAACAACACGAAGCCTATTTTTCTTGCACAACAGGAATCCATACAGGTGAGTAGGCTTATTCTTGTCCACAGGAAACCAGGACCCTTCCCTTGTCCCCCTCTATCACCTTTAGCTTGTGGCTTTTACTCACATAGTCACAAGATGGCAGTCACAGTTCTACATATCAAGTTTCCATTTCAAAACAAAGAGGGAAAAGGAAAGATCCAAGAACAAACAAAGGGGAGTGAGAAAGATATATTTCTTTACATGGAAAATTTTCTAGATCCCTTATTAAACAACTTCTTCAGTCCTTTGACCAAAACACAACATAATAGTAGTCTCTCCCTGAATATATTGTATGTATTAAATACTTTAATTAGCGTATTTATACTCAAGGAAGATTAGAGTTCTTATTTTTAGGAATAGACTAGTAATTGGGTAGGCAACTACTTATATTGAGAATGTTGACTTGACACATCTACATACCTATAGATATGGGTATCCCTATCTATCCATCTATCTAATCTGCTATTTACATTCCCCATAGGCATTAGGCTGATAAATGATGTTGCAGGTAGGAACAGTATTCAAAAATCATGGCATCTATGGTCATGATTTTTTAGAAAACTCAAACTTTCTAAATATTTCTTTTAATTATCAGTTACCATGACCAATTTAAACTTGGTAAGAAGCATTCAATTTATTAGGAGTACCATGCACTTTTTTCAAATTTTACTAAGCTAACTGATGATTTAGGTATTTTTATAGGTTATACAGACAACTTTCAAAGAGTTTAAATAAAAGTCTCCAAGTCCTATAACTAGAAAATATCAGAATCAATGTTTTAACCCTAGTATTTTTAATATTATCTCTTTGTATACTGAATCTTGATTTATTTTCCATATGTACCTTTTAGGCTGAACTATTTTGTCTTTTTTTCTTCCCTCAATTATACCTTGATGTTCATTTCAACAAAACCCAACCCTTAAAAAAGAAGTACAGAGGCTACTGCTATGGCATAGCCAGCATCCCACATGGGTGCTGGTTTGTGTACTGGCTGCTCCTCTTCTGATCCAGCTCCCTGCTAACATTTCTGGCAAAGTGGCAGAAGAGTGCCCAAGAGCTTGGGCCTCTGCACTCAAGTGGGAGACCCAGAAGAAACTTCTGGTTCCTGTCTTTAGATTGGCCCAGCTCTGGCTATAGAGGCCTTCTGGGAAGTGAACCAGCAGGTGGAAGAATTCCCTCTCTCTCTGTGTAACTCTGCCTTTCAACAAATAAATGAATCTTAAAAAAAAAAAAAAAAGAAATACAATTAGGAAAGATAAATTATAAAATGATCCATTGAGTAATGGGATACTACTTGTTAAATATGGTTATTAAAAAATTTATAGCAATAGCTTCAACAGTTTTATCTTTATTAAAAATTCTTAATATAATGATAAATTGAGTTATGCATAAATGTATCTTATTAACTATGAGAAGCATTTCTGGATGGGAATAACAACTTTTGTAAGGAAATAAAACACAGGAGTTCCTAGAGCAGTTAAAATCCTATTTGACTAAGAGTTTTATATGTAGCTATAATGGTGGAAGTTCTTCAGAAATTTAAACTGGTCAATACAGTGCTTTCCATCAAAAAATAATTTAAAAAGGGACATTTCATGACACCATGAAATAATTAGAAAAGACAGAAAATTCTTCATTTAAAAAGTAAAACAGGAAAAACATTCACTGTGTTTAATATCAGTTACTGGAAACCCTGGCCTTTACTAGAGAATTTATGAGTACATTATGTAGTATTAACACTAACTGTACATCGTTGTTCTTAACATAAAGATGCAAAGGTGCTTGACCCTCCCCACTGTTATTGTGTTTCAGAAGAGACAGTTTACCACACGCATTGTCATATGACAAAAATTAGAAGTCATGTTTTATCTGCCCCAACAAAGATAATTATTTCAAAATTCAGATGTAACTGGACCTATCACCAACTTATGGTTATGGTAGTCTACCTCTACTTTTCATGACCCATCTTGTTTCTTGGTAGCATTATTTTTTTAATTTCTTCTTTGTTATAGTGCTGTTTGTTTTTTAATATTTGTTTATTTTTGGAATTTTATTCTTTTATAAAAATAATATATTTGAATGAGTCAATATGAACAAATTTTTAGAATTATTCTGGCATTAATAATCTTAACTCATTTTTTAAAAAGTATTTAGATAGCTGTTGTTTATTGACACCATCAATATGCATCTCCAGATATCCTTTATTGTCTATAGAACCAGTTTTGTAAGTAATACATCATACCAAAAGATGTTTCATTCCTCTTTTTGAGTATAAGATTTCATACTATAGTCATAGGATAGCCAAATGGTATTTTCTATTTCTATATTCCTTCTTCATAGACAATAAAGAATTGCTTTCACAAGAAAATGTCTTAAGAAGAGTACATTCTTTCATTTTGTAAATATTAATCAAATATAAACTATGTAACCAATATTTGTAACATGAAAAAATATCCCTAAATGAATGCATTCATACCATAACAAGAACATTCTTAGGTTTTGAAATAAGATCACCTAATGCATTTTGGTGACAATAAATTTTGTTCACAGGTTTTTGTATTTCTTTAAGCTGTCACTTATTTTCACCTGAATTTTTAATGTATGCCTCTCATTACAGAGTTCTAACAATGTAATGCTGAGCCAAGCATCATGGCACAGTCAGTTAAGTTGCAATTTGGGAAACCTGAATCCCATATCACAATGCCACTTTGAGTCCCAGCTGCTCAGCTTCCAATGTGGCTCTCAGCTAAGGTACCTGGGAAGCAGCAGGTGATAGCTCAATTTCTTGATTCTCCGCCACCCACGTGGAAGACCCAAAAGGCATTCCAGGCTCTGAGCTTCAAACTGGTTCAATCCAGCTATTGTGGCCATTTGGGGGGTGTTCTCATGGCTAGAAGAACTTTTCTCTACCCTTTCCCCATTTCTCTGTTGCTTTTTCAAATAAATAAATAAATCCTTAAAAATAGTAAAATAAAAAGGGTGATTTTTAGCTAGGTATGATAAATAATTCGGCCCTGTCAAATGTAGTGCCAAAAAAGATGAAATAAACATAAGTTTAAGATGTGTTTATATATCTAATCTACCAAAGCCTGACATGCCTAAAACATGCAAAAGAGAACTTTCATTAACTTACAGTTGGGCAAAATCTTGAATAAGAAGCCTATTACAGAAAAGTCTTGAATAGGTCATATAACTGATTCAGTACAGTGCAGTGTATAGCACAGCACTGGTTCTTACTCAGCTCACTGCTGTGGCCCAGCATCATAAAAGAGAGCACTGCAAGCCCAGGGGAAGAACAAAATTCACAATTTCCTGAACGTGTATCATTTTCACACCAACATAAAGCTAAAAAAATCTTGAATACAATCATACTTGGTAGTGGCCCATCTGTATGTGTATATATATATAATGGGATAGCTATGAGCATTGTTATTTTGAAAAGGTTTTGTTGCTTTGGTAACAAT